CTTTTGGAATTGGATCTCCAGGTGTTTCTTTCATAGTGTCTCTGGGTGGGTTACAACCAACAACTTTTCAGTAAGCAGCCAACTTCCCAGAGACTCAAAAACATTAAACGAGGGATAGAAAATGATAGGTAAAAGGATTAAAGAAGTGATGGCAGAGAATGGGTAAGATCACGATATAGGAGGAAAAAAAGTATTAACCAAAACATCAAATCTCTTGAGAGGAATTGTAGCTATACGTATTCCACCAGATATTTGAGATGTCTTTGTTTTTAAGTGTTACCTTTATTGTAGTCCACTGAATTACTCGATATGGCTCTTCTAGCTAATCTTTAAGGTTCCTAACAAGTGACTGAGTTGTTGTTGTTGTTAAGTACCATGGAGTTGGTTCCGACTCATAGTGACCCTACAAAGGGTTTCCGAGTCTGTAAATCTTTATGGGAGCAGACCGCCTCATCTTTCTCCCACGGAACCGCTGGTAGTTTTGAACTGCCGACCTTGAGGTTAACAGCCCGATTCGTAACCACTACACTACCAGAGCTCCTTAAATGACTGAGTAGGAGTACACAAAAGTGAGTTATCTGTGGAACATCAAGGGGACTGGATATTGCTGTTGTAGTTAAGTGCCGTCAAGTCAGTTCTATCTCATAGTGACCCTTTATACGATTTCTGAGGAACATCTGGGGAGTCTGAACCACCAACCTAGTGGTTCAAACAAACCTTGACGTCTAGTGTTTATTCTATAGTGCCACATCAGGATTTCATGTGATGTGGAAACATACAAATAGGGTATATAGAAACGCAACTTGGGTATTGGCCAGTTTTGGCAGCCTGCTGCGTTTTAAATGAGTTGTCCCAGAAGTGGACAGAGAAATCTTATTACCATCCTGAAGGAAGAGGCAGGAGTAGAGTATAGCCTTTGGACCCTGAGATACCTGTGCTGTGTTGGAACACCTCAAGCCAGGAGCCAGAGAGCTGTGACACAGAGAAGCAATAGAGAAGTGGAGGTAGCAGAGGCAGTAGAATCAAGAGCATGAGAAAGAATGGTTGGCTTCCTGGCTTAGGGAGCAAGAAAGCTGAGGACCTTCAGTCATGAGGCTTGCTTGTAGAATCACGTACTTTTCAGGGTATTTGTCTGGGGAGCTAGTCATACCAAACCACAAAGTTAGACCTGAGCATTTAGCCAGGGCTTACTGGTAGCGTGGGCACTTAATCTGCAGAGCCCCACTTGTCCAAGCAGGGCAGAGGCCAAAAGACCACAGAATTGAAAGCTAAAAGAGCTCTGTAACTCTCGCTGAGTAATGCACAGGCTGAGGTGCTCCGTGGCAGAGAGGCAAAGGTACACAGAGAGGTGTGACTGCAGACGCGGTTAAGAAGGGTCTGTCCTAACCCAAGAATTGTATCCTAAGCATTTCTAATCTTGAATTATACCTCCTTGTTGTTCTTGTTGTTGTTAGGTACCATCAAATCAGCAACAACTCATAATGACTCTATGCACAACAAAATAAAACACTGTCTAGTCCCGCGCCAATCTCACAATTGTTGCTAAACCTGAGCCCATTAATGCCGCCACTGTGCTAATCCATTTTGTTGGCAGTGTTCCTCTTTTTCTCCAAACATCCACTTTACCAAACATGATGTCTTTCTCCAGGAACTGGTCCCTCTTGATAATATGTCTGAAGTATGAAAGACAAAGTCTGGCCATCATGCCTTTCAAAAAACATTCTGGCTATATTTCTTCCAACATAGATTGGTTTGTTCTTTTGGCACTTTTGGTACTTTCAATATTCTCCTCCAACACCATAACTTGAATGCATCAATTCTTCTACAGTCTTCCTAATTCACTGTCCATCTTTCACATGCATAGGAAGTTATTGAAAATATGATGACTTGGATCAGGCACACCTTAGTTCTCAACACTGATGTCTTTGCTCGTCAACACTTTAAAGACTTGTGCAGCAGATTTGCCTAATGCAATACATCCCTTGATTTCTTAACTGCTGCTTCCATGAGTGTTGATTGTTGATCCAAGCGAAATGAAGTCTTTGACAACTTCACTTTTTCTCCATTCATCTTGGTGTTATTTATTGGTCCAATGTTACAGATTTTTGTTTTTTTTACACTGAGAAAGTTCATCTTCATCAGTAAGTGTATTAAGTCCTCTTAGCTGTCAGCAAGCATGGTTGTACCATTTGCATATCACAAATTGTTATGAATCTTCTTCCAATCCTGATGCCATGTTTCTCTTCACATAATCCAGCTGCTCAGATTATTTTCTCAGCATACAGATTGAAAGCCTCTGCTGAAAGAATACAACCCTGGGACACAACCTTACCTAATTTTAAACTTTTTGGTATCCCCTTGTTCTGTTCCAACAACTGCCTCTTGGTCTGTGTACATATTCCTCATGAGCTCAATTCAGTGTCTGGAATAGTCAGTCTTCATAATATTGTCCATAATTTACCATAATCCTCACAATAGAAAGCCTTTGCATAGTTAATAAATCACAAGTCAACATCTTTCTGGTATTCTCTGCTTCTAGGTAAAAGCCATCTAACATCAGCAATGATATCCCTCATTCCATGTCCTCTTTAGAATCCAGCTTGAACCTCTGGAAGTTTTCTGTCATTATGTGGTTGTAGCCGTTTTTGTATTATCTTTAGCAAGGTTTTACTTGATTGTGATATTTATGACATTGTCCAATTTGTTCTATTTGGTCACCTCTCTTTAGAATGGACACAAATACAGATCTCTTCCAGTCAGTTGGCATGGTAATTGTCTTCCAAATTTCTTAGCATAGATGAGTGAGTGCCTTCAGTACTGTATCAGTTTGTCGAAAGAGTTCAATTTGTATTCCATCAGTTTTCAGTGCCTTGTTCTTTGCCAATGCATGTTGGACTTCTTCCTTCAGGATCATTGGCTCATGATCATACGCTACCTCTTCAAACAGTTGAACATCAACCATATCTTTTTGGTAGTGACTCTGTATGTTCATTCTATCTTCTTTTGATACTTTCTGCATCATTCAATAATTTGCCCAGAGAATCCTTCAAAATTTCAAGTTGAGGCTTGAATTTTTTTTCTTGTTTCTTCAGTTTGAGAAATTTTGAATGTGTTCTTCCCTTTTGGTTTTCTAACTCCAGGCCTTTGCACATTTCATTATAATATTTGACTTTGTCTTCTCGAGGTGACCTTTAAAATTTTCTATTCAACTCTTTTACCTCCTCACTTCTTCCATTTGCTTTAGCATCTCTACATTGGGAAGCAAGTTTCAGAGTCTCTTCTGACATCCATTTTGGTCTTTTCCTTCTTTCTTGTCTTCTTAATGACCTTTTGCTTACTTCCTGTATGATGTTCTTGATGGCATCCCTTAACTCTTCTGGTCTTTGGTCTTTAGTGTCTAATTCATCAAACCTGTTAGCTTCCCTAATAAACCCCATATTCATGACTATAGATTAGGAGTTCTGTGTGGCCACTTATAGAACCCAGCAGAGAGGTAGAAGGTGCTGTAGGTGGGATGTCTGGTGTCAGAATTTATTTAAAAGTTTGGAGAGAGACATATCTCATTCCTGCCTCTTAAGAATCAACCTTGTCCTTGGTACAATAGAAGTTCAATGAAAAAAAGGAAGACTCTCAATGAGATAGGTTACCACAGTGGTTGAATGGGATCACACATAATAAAGAGAGCACACGTGGTACAGAATCAGGTAGTGTTTCATTCTGCTGTACATGGGGTCCCTGTGATTCAGAACTGACTAAAGGGCATATAACAAGGAGAAGAAGAAGAATTGAAAGGTCCAGAGTGATCTTTCTAAGTACAGATAGCCGATCACCTCCTCTTTTTGCCTACAAGAGAATATTCAAATTCCCTAACTCATTACACAAGATGCTGGACACTTACGCCTCTTATTTTCATGTCCTTAAAAGCAGAAAATTAGTTGTTGTAGAGTTGATTCTGATGTATGCAACACCATGTGTGTCAGAGCAGAAGTGTGCTGCATCAAATCTATGGCTGATTTTTTTGGAAGTAGATCACTGAGCATTGATTCCAAGGCATCTATTCTAGAGCTATTCATCTACGTCAGATCACTGTCTAGCACAAGCCCTGATTCCTAATGTTGTCATTGTTGCTTAGTGTTATCAAGTCAGTTCTAACTCACAGCAACCCTGTATGGAGTTTCCAAGGAGCATCTGATGAGTGTGAAGCACCAGTCTTGCAACTACCAGTCCAGTAATCTATAAATATTTGCAAAATTAATTACTATGAAATCTATGACAAAACAATGTATCATTAAATGTAACTGGTAATAATGCGAGGTCTATTGTGTTGCTGTTAAACTTAGTAGAAATCTGAGAAAGAAGCTAATCTAAATGACAATGGATGAGGAAAAAGTACAGAATAATTTTTCTTAAATAAATATGAAAAAAAAAAAAGAGAGAGATTTCTACTTACAAACAACCAACTCACTGTTGCTGAGTTTATTCTGACCCACAGCGACCCTCTAGGAAAGAAAGGAACTGCTCCACAGGGTTTCTGAGACTGTAAATCTTCATAGGAGCAAACAGCCCCATCTTTCTCCCACAGAACAGCTGGTGGGTTTGAATCACTAACCTTATGCTTAACCTGCTTCACAACCAGGGCTCCTTTTCTATTTATAAACTAGGTAGAAACACTACTTAAAATAAACATTTGAAACCACAAAAGATAAAAATATTGCCTGATTTTTAAATGTCAAGTTCAAATAATGGGCTTCATAATCTAAAAACTGTAATCAAACTAAGTGTTTTAGGAACTATATTAAAACAATTTCAATAGCAAAATAGAATCCAGATTAGTGTTTAGTTAAATAATTTTAAGACATATGTAAAGACTGACTGTACATAATAGAATTTTAGAAATTAATGCAAATCATCCTGAATTCTAGATAATTAAACATATTTTAAATGTCTTTATATTGAGACATTTTATAAATACTCTACAAATAAGCATTTTAAAGTCATACCTGTAAAAGTGTTGTTCTATGGAGTTTCAGTGCCCCCTTCTGGTGGATTTTAGCAAAGCAGCCTGAACAATAATATTCTCCACATTCAAGGCATACCTTAAAGATATAAAAATATCATATGAATTTGTAATGACTCTGAGACAATGATTGTATAAAGATGTCACTGTTCTCTTGCTAATTTCTGCAATAGCATGCCTTGATATCATTAGATCGAAAAGCCCAGGAAAATTGACATAACCACTTATCCCAGTCAAGATTTAATTCTTTATAGAACATACAAACAGTAATTACTCTAAAATTAAAATACAATAGCTGTAACGTAGACTTTAGAAATATGTCTTAGATGTATAGGATCTCTAGTAGTACAATGGTTAAATGCTCTGCCACTAACTAAAACGCTGGTACTTCAGATCCACCAGCCTCTGTGCAGCAGAAAGAGGAAGCAGTCTGTTTTCATACAGATTTACAGCCTTGGAAACCACGTGGGCACTTCTACTTATAGAGTGGCCATGAGTCAAAATCAATGTGAGTTTGATTTAACATTGATTAGCTATATATACATAGATAAAATTGCCAAAAAAAAAAACCATAAAGCCACCAAGAGTCTCAGATCAAAATTCTTAACCTGATAAAACTAAGCAGCATCCTCTGGGCTAAAATACTTAAGGAGGGTTTTTTGATGAATAGTTTGTATAATATTTGCTTCCCAAAATCCCGATACAGTTTCTTAAATATCTTTGACTGGTGATTAGCAAAATATGGTTTTTAAAGTATTCTTAGAAGAGTCCCCAAAGTGAAGAAAGTATAAGAAAAAAAAAAAATTAGAATTGCATCAAGATTTCAATGTTGTTTATCACTGGTGAAATGATTATGAGCAAGTCTATATTTGTCTTGTAATTCTCTATAGCATTAATGATGTGATTTTTAAAGTTTCTGAACAAATTGAATAATGTCATACACCTGTATCTGTGAGGCTGCCAAGGAAGACTGAAAGTGAAAAGGGAAGAAAATGGAATTTATACTGCAAGTGAAATTACTGCTCTGCAGTGGTACAGCTATTTCAGTGCTTTTGACAGTATGATAAAAAACAGCACAAACTGCCAACATCTTTCATTTTCCTGAGTTTGTCCCAAGTTGAGGAGAACACAAAAAACAAAGCATGAAGGCATGGATAGATGGGATCAAAAAGTCTTTGTCGTCTAGCTCACATTTCTTTCGACCTTTTTCATTGCCTCCTCTCTTAGCCACCACCCACCTTTCCTCTCACCTTCCTCTCTCTTCATATCCTAGAATGACAAGTATTCAGGTAGACAAGAGATCCACCATGCTCTTTGGCCTTGTCCTGGTCAATGACAGACTGCAATGTGCACAACACTGTGATGCAGCTCAATGAATATAAATCACTTGGGACTCGCGTTACAATGCAAGTTCTGGTGCAATAAAGTCTGGGATGAGACATTAAGAGTCTGCATTCTAACAAGCTCTTATGTGATGTCTACGCTATTGCTAGTTGCATAGCCCACCTGTTGAGTAACATGGAACTAGATTTTATATGATGCAGAAAAGTAGACTAAGCTCTTATTAAAATCCCAGCAGGGGAACTTTGTTATTAAGTGCCATGGAGTTCATTCTGAATCCTAGTACCCTGTACAGCGTTTCTAAAGGGCGCCTGGTGGATATGAACTGCCAACCTTGTGGTTAGTAGTCCAGTGCTTATCCTACAGTGACACACCAGGAGAATTTTAAGCCCATTTAATTTTATAAACTGTACTAAAAGTCCCCAAATGACAACAAAGGAGCCAGGTTTATTCAATACAAAATGATAAAACAAACTCAAAGTTAAAAGAGTAATCAGTTTTATATAACTCGAATGAAACTCAAAAAGGGAACTACAGCCAAATAACAATAACAATATAAGCAACATTTAACTGTTGTTGTTGTTGTTGTTAAGTGCCGTCGAGTCAGTTCCGACCCATAGCGACCCTGTACAGGGTTTCCATTTAACTACTGTTCTAATAATACATTTTATTTCATTTAAGCCTTATAACAGCTCAATAAAGCATCATTATATCTCCTCTATGAAATTGAGGAAACAAAGAGACATTATAATTAACCATTTACCCACAGTCATCATCTCTAATAATGGTAGGGGCAGGATTGCAACACCTCAGTCTAGCTCAAAGAATGGCACGTACCACTGATCATTAAACCAATCACTGACTATCTCAGTACTATTCATTTATCGGTAAACCTTCAAAAACTCTATAATATTTCAAATGACTGCACCACCTGATATTTATCAAAACAAAGTATTTTTAAATGTGATTAGTTATCAGAATGGATTTTTTTAGGATTTGGGGTTTTGTTTTGTTTTTTAATGGGGAAAAGAATAAACACTACTCTGATCATGAGGACTTAATGTTTCCCACTTCTGTGTAAAAAAGCTAGATACTTAAATACATGATGATAAAAACGTTATCCTAAGTCCATACTTTGTATGTACTAAATCAATTAAAAGCTATAATTTCACATGAATAAATGCAACAGTATTATTATATAAAAGGAGAAAACACAATTTCACTGAACATCCCTGTTATTATTTTCATTAATTTCTCATGAATATTTGGCACTGCTTTTTAAAAGTATAATTTAGAGAAATGAAAATCTGTTTCAGCATATAATTCTAAGCCAAGTATTTGCTAGCAATAGGCTTTTAATGAAAACACCCAAATGGATGTATATAGAGTGGAAGATCAAAGTAAAATTATAGAGTGATCTTATATATTTTGTTGTACAAGCATATTTGGCATTAAATTGGGTTAAAATGATCACCAACTGCAAAAGTTCTTTAGGCAATTTGTATAACTGGTAGAAACATGCTATAAATGTCGATAAGGATTCCATTCCACCACAGATGTTTCTTCAATGACAGATACCTACATGGAGTTTCAGGAAATATCTTACTTATTTGATTAACGCCAGACCAGTTATGCTAAGGCTTAAAGAATCCATCTGAGTTTAATTTGGTTGCCGCACATTCACCAAATTCATATATAACCATACACAATCAACACTTATGGAAGTAGCAGTCAAGAAATCAAATGATTATTGCATTGGGCAAATCTGCTGCACAAGACCTCTTGAAAGTGTTCAAGAGTAAAGATATCAGTTTGAAGATTAAGATGTGCCTGACCCAAGTCTGGGTATTTTCACTCACCTCCTATGCATGTGAAAGTTGGGAAAATGCATAGAGGAATTCATGCATTTGAATTACAGTGTTGTAGAAGAGAAAGTTGAAAGTACCAATGACAGCCAGAAGAGCAAGCAAATCTGTGTTCGAAGAAGTACAGCCAGAATGTTCCTTAGAAGTAAAGATGGCGAAACTTTGTCTCTCATGCTTCAGACATATTGTCAGGAGAGGCCAGTCCCTGGAGAAGGACATCATGCTAGGTAAAGTGGTAGATCAGCAAAAAATGGGAAGAGCCCCATCAAAATGGTTTGGCACAGTGATAGCAGCAATGGGTTCAAACAGCGAAAATTGTGAGAATGGCGCAGGATTAGGCAGTGTTTTATTCTGTTGTGCATAGGGTCGCTCTGATTGAGAACTGACTCAACAGCACCTAACAACAACATATATCACTTTAACTACTCATTTCTCATTTGCCCTACAAAAAGAGTCTAAAGCTACTACAAGTTCTTATGACATTCCATCAATCTGAGGGATTGCCTCAGATCGTAGGGAAATGGGTCAGTGACAGACGCACACACAATTAACTGCCTCCTTTCTATATGCCAAGTACACAGTCCTGAATCTTTCTCATGGATTGACGACCATGAATTATCCTGAATGATATTTGAAGTACAGTCTACAGTTATTCCTGTATTTCCATTTTACAGATAACACAGAATCATAAAGAAATTGAGTCATTTTTATGAATGTTACACATTCACATTTGAAATTCAAACCTCCAAAATTCAAACTTTCAACCACTACTTTCCATACTTTCCCATACTTTCCATATCCCTGCTGAAACCTCCTTCTGAGGTACTGAAGAATTACACTAATTTTTCCATCAGCAGAGCCACCTAAAATGATAGAAGCTAAAAGCATGAGCCAACCTCAGAATTTAACAATACCATAGTCTACTTCATTAGAACTATCAGCCTAGCTTGAATTTACAACTTATTGTTGTGCTTTTGACAACTTTCATGCTATAAATTTTTCCTTTAACATCAAAGATGATAATTTCATAAAATCTTAGTGAAATTCATCAAAGATTTCTTGGGCTTACACCCTGGCTTCTTTAGACAACAGTTTCCAGACAAATCAGCTCTTTAATTACTAAACACAGCCTCACTCTCATCAGCTTTCCAGTCAAGGAACATGCCATTTATCCTGTCTGAGATGTTCTTGCTCTTCCTTTCCCTTCTCCTGGAAAAAAACAGATCCTTTATTTCTAAGTCAAGCCTTATAGGTCATACTGCTCAAGTCTCCTGGACTTTACATAGCGCTCAACACACAATAGAATAACATCTCCTTCAGAAATCCTTTTCAGAACCTTCACTGAGCATCCCAAAAATTCAATTCAAACTGTAAATCTCCTTTTAGCTATTCTAATCCCAACTCCAGGAACATTAACATCTGTATATAATGTTATAGACATTTCTGGCTAATTACAATTTGATAATATTCTTTAAATATTGTACTGTCTGCCATTGTATCAAACAACATCAAACAGGATGATGTAAAAGCATTAAAGGAAAATGCGGGCTTTAGATTCAATACTACTATTAAACCTCTATTAGACTAAATATGTGCTCACTCTTTGATCACAGTTAATACTGTCATTAAATAAGGTTATCAATACAGTAGACTCAAAAGGTAAATGAGTATAGTTAAATTCTATGAAACTATAATCTACATATATATAACTTATAATCATTAAATTACTATAAGGAAAACTTTCATACATATGTGTAAAATTCTATATTGTAAGTGATAGTGAAGTCCACCTTGAGGGCTAGCAGAAAGGAAAATATGTACAAATTAAGGAAAAATCTATATTACAGAATACTGTGAAAGAAATAATCTCATT